TAGTTGAATGAAGATCCTATAAAAGGAGTCATGTTATAAGATGTGCAAGAATTGTAAATTATGACGATAGATCAAGCTAAATCAATAATAATTAATGGCAATTAAAAAAGAGTTATGGCAGCAACTAATGCAAACTAATTTTCTTCTCGATCTCATGCTATAATATAATTATTTGTTGTAAATTAACAATATTAATGCAAATTATCATTAGTTGATTTGGCAGGTAGTGAAAAAGCTAATGTAAATGAAGGTAGTAAAGGAATAAGATAAATGGAAGGAGCTAATATCAATAAAAGTTTATTAGCTTTAGGAAATTGTATAAATATGTTAGCTTGTGATTAATCAATGAAGAAATTTGTACCTTATAGAGATTCAAAATTAACTAGACTTTTAAAAGATTCATTAGGAGGAAATACTAAAACTCTTATGATAGGATGTGTATAATAAGTAGTTTAATGTCACGAAGAAAGTATTAATACTTTAAAATATGCATCCAGAGCAAGAGCTATTAAAAAAAAGATTGTTTAAAATATTAAAATTAATGATATTACAAATTGTAATTGCAATTGTAATTCAGAAAATGTAGGTTTATTATAAGCAGAGATTGAAGCATTAAAATAGGAAGTATCATACTAATGTATTTTATTATTATTATTATTTTAATAGGTTAATTAACAGAAGAAGAAATTGAAATTAAATTAAATTTAAAACAAATTGATTAATTATAACTTTAAAATAGAGAAGGTTTAGAATATTTATTATAATAAATGAATTCTGAAATGATAGATGAAGATAGATTGAAAAATGAAATTCTATAATATGAAAGAGCAATTAATGAAAATGAACGGATTAGATAAGAATTGAATTCTTAATTATAATCTAAGAAAAAAGAAAGAACTGATCCAAAAGATATTCAAATTGAAATGCTTAAAAAAGAAATTACTTTTCTAAGAGATCAAATTAAATAAAAGGATTTAGTTATTGATTCCTTAAAAATGGATAAGGATAATATAAAATAATCTAGACCACATACTAGTTATTAAGAAACTGATAGACCAAAAATGAATAAAGAAAATTCTATTGAAATAGATGTCAGAAAAGATAGTCTATAATATTGTGGTTCATCTAAATCTATTAAATAACCTACAAATAGAGAAGAAGAATAACATCTTTAAAAATTAAATAAGGCAAGAGATAATTATAAGATTTTTAGATCAAAAATGATTTAACTTTAAGAAAAAATGAATTATTACACAAAAAATGATATTCATTTAAATCAAAATTAATTAAAAGAAATTATTGATATGATGAATGAACTATCAACACAGAATGGTCCTGTTTTGAAATAAGATGAAGAGATGATAATTTATTTTCAAAAATTCATTAAGTCTTAAACTTAGAAATCATAATAATAAATAAATCAAAGTACATTAAATACTCAAATAACTACACCATAACAAAGATCAAGGAGTGTTAATCCAAATCCAAATAGAGGAAAAGGAACTTCTTAACATTAAAGAAAGCCTTTATAACCAACTAATTAATCACCTATGAATAGATAATTATTCAGTAATCACACAAAATAATATTAATAATTAGTTTAAAAAGGAAAGAAGGTATAATATTGATTTGATTTCAGGAAAGTTGTCCCACTCCGTAGAATAAATAAAAGTTCATTTTGGAATACGTAAAGAAAATGGAAAATTAAATACCGAGGGGGAGTAACAAGTCCCCACTACAATCATTTAGCTCCGATAATTCGGATAAGTATTAATTCACTAATATAAGACCAGAGACGATATTATTAAGCGTAGTTTTGTCTAAAAAGTTCCATTTCAATCAATTTAATGATATTATATTTTACAATTATTATTGTCTCATAACAAAACCAAATTCTTTTAAGTAGATAATTATTTTAAAATTGTCTTACAAATATAATATTAAATCCTATATAAATATTTTTCATTATTCATATGCATTTGACAATTCTAATACTTTTTTTGATATTTAAGATTTGTCATTATAAAATTGTCTCAATAATTAAATTTAAATATGGATAATTCTAAATCGAAAGACAATTAAAAAGTAGAGCCTTTGAGACCATGTTGTGCTTGTCCTGAAACAAGAAAACTAAGAGATGAATGTATTGTTTCTTTAGGAGAAGAAAAATGCTAAAAAGAAATCGAAAATCATAAACTTTGTTTGAAAAAGCTTGGATTTGAATGAAATTTGATATTTTATTGTCTAAATATGATATTCAATTGATATTAAACTTGATTTAATTGAGAATATTTTAATATATTACTTCTTCTTGACTTTATTGTATATAATTATAATACATTAATTATGAACATTTATAAATCCATTGGACGATTATCTTCTTTCAGATTCTCTACATCTGTTATTGAGATTCTTAACAAATTTGATGAGGATTATTATGTAAAGAATTTCTTAAATACATTCAATTCAACAGGATTCCCATAGGCTAATCTAAGTAATATAATGTATTTATAAAATTTTAGAGATTGGAAATAAAACTTGTAATCTTATTGGTTTGCCAAGGTCTGGAGTTCAAGAAACAATAGTAGATGATTTAACAGAATTGTTACTTAAGGATTAGAAAAAAAATAATTTTTTAATACAAATTGATCCATCACCTTACTTATATGCTAAAAGATAGCTTTATAAATTTTATCATTCAAAAGTAGATCCAATCATAACTGATGTAAGAAATTCTAGTAATGAAAGAATTTATTTGAATAATTACCAACTTTACCTATAGATACCAATGAATTAAGATTAGATTTAGCTATATTTGATTCTATCCATTTGATTTAGCAACATCCTTAAATAAATGCAGAAAATAAATAAATCATTTTTGAATATTTGAATGGATAAAAGTTAGGATATTATTAATCAACACTAAAAAAGTTAAAGGAAGCCATATTGAAGGATGGATAATTATCTTAATAATTATCATAGGAGAGTGATGAAATGGCATAAAAGTTTGCAGATTTATTATCAAATACAATTCTATATAGAGATTAAAATTAAAACGAAATTGTTCAAATAAGTTTATTATAAGCATTATATATGACAACATTAAAAGGGTCTAACATACATTTAATAGGGATGTCATAAATTTATTAGAGAATAGCTAGTGGAATATTCTTATCATTGTCAGAAGTTAAAGAAATGTTTAATAATATATGTTAAGAAATATAAAGTAAGAGTATTAGTGAAAATAATTTAAATTATTTATTTGATTTTTAAACAATGTTATGGAAATAAAAAGGAATAGAATATTACTTATTATTTAATATTAATCGTTATTTAAAGAATTCAAAAGGAGATGATGTTACAGTTGTAGTAGATGCTTTGCATTATGATCCATTAAGAATTGCAATATCAAATTAATAAAATAATTTTATTGAGGAAATAGAAAATAGTTATTTTGCAGAATTTTAATATCCTAAATTAGAGAAACCAGAGAATGATGATTAAGTGTTGGAAAAACATGCAATTCTAAGTTCAATTTTATCATTTTAAATTTGGAAAGAACCTTGCATTAATAATCCATTTCCATATTTATCAAAAGATTTCAAAAAAATGACTGTAGATTAATAATAAGAAATTCATGATAAATTTAACAAATTTTATGAGAAATATTCAAAATAAATTTAAGATGTGAAGAATTCATTAAAATAATAATGAATGTATTAATTTAATAGTATTATTAATTTATTTTATATTTTTATATATTAAATATGGTAAACAATAGCTTATATCATAGTCCAAAGTTTCTGTGGCATCTACTTACACTATAGGAGAATCAATATCATCTTTAGATATAAGTCAAGAATATACAGCTGCAGGTTTATTGGATGAAACAGTGGCATTATGGAAAGACAAAGTATCAAAAGAAAATGAACCATAAAGATTAGAAGGGCATTTTTTAGGAATTGTAGATGTAAAATTCTCAAATAATGGTGAATTACTTGCAGTAAGTTCATTAGATAGTGTTATACGTATTTGGGATTTAAAGAAAAGTATAAAATCAAAAGAAATTGCATGTGATTAAATGGAAAATTGGAATATTTGTTGGTTGAAAGATTATATATGTACTGCAGGAGAGGGAGGAAGATTATCAATCTTTAGTTTAGATTAAAATCAAGAAGAAATTCCTGTATTTTCAGTAGAAAACTCATTTGCATCTGCATTAACTGCAAATAATGCAAATATTGCTGTTGGAACAGATAGTGGTTCATTACATATTGTTGAAGATCCTATTGAAAAGAGAAAACTTCATTCAAAAAAATTTCATAAAAAAATGGTGAGATCTGTAAAATTTAGTAATGATGGTTTTAAAGCTTTTACAAGTTCAGATGATGGAGATATTAAATTAATTGATTTAACTAAAATGAAAGAAATTAAAACATTTTAACATCATTATTCTGTTAATTCAATTGATGTTAATCCAATAGATGATAAATTAGTTGTCAGTTGTTCATCAGATTATAGAGTTAGATTATGGGACACATAATCTGGATAATGTATTGAATAATTTAGTCCATTTGATAAAAAAGATGATAAATTATGGGCTGTTCGTTTTAATAGAGATGGATCTTTAATTGGAGTTTGCTCATAACAAGGTTAATTAAGTTTCTATAGTAGAAATTGAAATTGTTAGAAATAATAAAAGTGTTATAACCAAAATGTTTATTATACTTTAGATATTTATTATAATATTTAACAATGAATTATCTAAGTAATTAATCTGATATTCTTGATTAAAATCTTCCTTAAGATATTTAAGAATCATTTAAAGTAATAATTAGACATGTTAGAGTTCCAAAACTAATTGAAGATTTTTCCTAACTTAATGGATGTTCACTCTCAAATATATAATAGATTTAATATTTGAAAAATATTATAGTATTAAATTATTATTCTTTATACTTTTTGAAAGAAATTTATTATCATTATTGTTTGATTTTATTTATTATAATAATTTAGATAATGTTTTGATTGAATTTATTTTGAAAAATATACTAATTTTGTTTATCTTAAATTAATTATAAATGCTTTTTAAAATTTTTGAATAATTTATTTAATTTGTTATATTTTAATTAAGATGAAAAATACAGTAAGCAAATCTATTTGTGTTGAAATTGATCCTCGAATCATTATAGAATGGACTAAAAGATTTAAGTATTCTTAATATTCAGATAAGTTTAAATTAATTTAAGGTGACTTTTTAACAGCTGAATAACCATTTTTTGATTTATGTGTAGCAAATGTCCCTTATTAAATATCATCTCCTTTAGTTTTTAAATTATTGGCTCAATGGCCTTTTTGGAGATATGCAGTTTTAATGTTCTAATAAGAATTTGCATTCAGATTGGTTGCCAAACCTGGAAATGAATTATATTGTAGACTATCTGCAAATGTTTAAATGTTATCAAGAGTTGATCATTTGATGAAAGTTGGAAAAAATAACTTTAAACCTCCTACTAAAGTTGAATCATCAGTTGTTAGAATAGAACCAAAGAATCCTATTCCTAATATTAATTATATTGAATGGGATGGTTTATTAAGAATTTGTTTTAATTGAAAGAATAAATGATTATCTACCATCTTCAAAAACAAATCAGTACTCAAAACATTAGAACATAATTTTAATATTATTTAATAAGAAGGAATTAAAGTGAATGATCCTTCAATTCATATAAAAAAAATTAATTTCAACTATAATGGAAGAAGAGGATGTAAAAGGGAAAGGGAAAAAAGATAAACAATATAAATAGAATTAATAAAAAGATGAAGAATCTGATTCAGAGGAAGATGAAGATAATAATTAATAATAAGATAAACAATAAACTACATAAAATCCATTCAGATAAAAATTAAATGAAATATTGAAGTCTAAAGATATGTTCTAAAAAGGCCAGTTAAAATGGATAATGATGATTTTCTTTTATTACTTTGTGCTATGAATGCTCAAGGAATTCATTTTAAATGAATGTTCTATTTCTAATTATCATTATATTGCTTATTAAATTATTTTTGTTGAAATAAGATTATGTAGGACAAAAGAAAATTTAGAAATATTTTATAATAACAAAAAGTCTATTAATAATGATAGTATTAATTTTATGATCAGAAAAAGGAAAGCATAATAAAGAATTGAAATAAACACATGATTCTGTAATTTTAAACAATTACATTATATCTCTAAAATTTTAAACAAATACTTAGAGATAGTTATTTGAAGTAATTTATTTAAAATATCATTTTGATTAAAATGATTATAGAATTCTTACTATTCTCAATAATTACTTACAAAATAATAAATTCATTTTTCTACAGCTCTTTCCAAAATTACATCTTTGATGTATAACTTTATGGATCTTATTTTTAGAATAACCTTTAATGGTATCATCATAACCATTATTCTTGTTTTTTATATGTCTCGAATTAATTTAATTGTCAAAGGTAACCAGAATACAAAATACAAAATAAATAAAATTGCTTCAAATATTATAAACAAAGCTAAAAGTTAAGTTTTAGAATTATTCATATCTAAATTAATTCCCTCCTTTAATTTAAGAAATAAATACCGAAATGTAGCTATAATTATTTCATCAACTTTTACCTTTTAGATAAGTACTTTACATTACTCTCAATTCTTTAGCCTACTTAAAATTATTTAAATTATAAATGTAATTAGTAACATTATCATCATTCTAAGTAATATTCTTGAATACAATGTTTCCTCTAACAGCACTTGAAAATGACACTTCAGGATGGCCATAAAATTATTCATAAATAGTCAATAGAAATCTAATATTTTCAATAAATCTTGCTAATCCCACAGCCATTCCTTAATCTATGGCTCCTGAAGCAAACTATACACATTCCTCCTCAGTTACAGTTTGCATTTCACTTGCAAATATTGCACATGGTTAAAGCATAAAGATTTCTTAGAAAGAATCTATGTATATATTATTGAGGATATCTATATTTAAAGAGTGTTCTTGATGAAAATAAGAATCTATTTAATATAGTGCATCTATGAGAACTTTAAGTAGATAATATGAATCCACACTAGTTATAGGAATATCTCTATTTAAAAATAAATGTCTTTCTGAGCCTTCAACAAATTTATAAAACCCTTCGCAATAAGAAGTTGAATTAATCTCAGGTACCATCTGGCTTAAATTTGTAAGCATCTAACTACTTAAAAAATAAAATATGATGAAATAGCTTTGGAATAATATGGTTAGAATTAGAGAAATCAAAATTAGGTTTCTTAATTCTTTGTTAGAATTTTTATACTTCTTCTTTTTTCTTCTTTATTTAAGTGTTTTATTCAATTCTTCTCGTTCTTCTTTTTCAAGTTCATCAAAATCTGATAACATTTCATCATCTTCTCCTATTTAAATATTTGATAAGAAGTTTTCACATTTTGAATATAAAAATTTAATAGTTTTATCTGGAATATCTAAGAATAAAACTAAAATTTCTTATAGTCCTCTTGCCATCTAAATCAAAAAGAATATTAATAATAATAAAGACACTCCTAAAATTCCTGATGATGTACCTAATATACTTATTAACTCCTATCTATTGTCAGCTGTTTTCTAAGCTAAATCTAATGAATATTATTGAGTTGAATTCTATAAATGAAGAGCAAAATCATTTAAAAGATTATAAGTCAAAAATTTGAAGTCTTCATCTTTGGGAGTCATATAAGCTAATTATTTATCTCTTAGTATGAGAGATTTACTTAATAATTATTACATAGCTTATACTAAATCATATTTTTGAAATACTCCCTCGCTGACCTGCATATTTACAACATTTTAAGTGTACAATTCTTTAAGTTATTCATTATCATCATCACTATTTAGAGTTAAAATTGTATTAATTTCATTTATTGTATTTATTGTATCATTTATCAACTTTCTCTAATCTTTTTCATATAATTTACTTTCAGAATCAGAGGTAAATGTCCAAATTCCAATTTATTACATTTATAAGTTTTGGGTAGCTGCCATAAGATTAAAAAATTCAGCATTTCTAATACCAACTTATTAAACTAGATATAATTAATCACTTATTTTATTATATTGTTAATTAGTTAAGAAGAATGCAACAAATGATAAAGTTACAATTGAAAGCATTTCTAAATTCATTGTCCAATTAAGTTTGGTAATGACTTTTGGAGTTTATTAAATATTAATAAGTTAAAGTAAATTTGTTCGTGATCTAAAAACATTCAGATTATCATTAGCTCCAACTTCTATTGAATCATTATCAATTTTTTGAAATACACTTGATTTTCCTGAATCTTCATCTTCAGAGATAATATCTTCTCTATCTTCAATATCTTAGATTTTATTTTCAAATAATCTTAAAGTTTTAATACCATCATCTAATTTTAAAGAATGTGTAAATATTTATAATTCATCACTTTTTTCTGTTGATGGTTTTTAATATTCCATTCCTAGATTAGATGTTAATTAAGAACTTTGATCTTATTAATCCCAATTTACAGATTAATCAACCCTTTAAGAATTAATTTCATTTCCAGCTTCTGCTACAAATGTCATAGCTTTAGGGATGAATTTAAATTACATTTAATTATAAACTAATTATTCAGTTTATTGTTTTTCAGCTAATAAACTCATATTTTATTATGTACCAAATGATTTCTCAGTTTATATTAATTCTAATTTAATAGAATAGCCTACAAGTTATTTTTCAAAATCTCTGATTTCTGATACATTACATTAATAAATTTAATAAAATTTATCTGATTTTTATTTTTCAGTTTATTATTCTGATGAAGGTTAATATGATGGTGATTTAGTTTATTAAAGAGAATTGTAAAATTTAATTGGGGCTCCTTATTTAGTAAAAAATGAATTAAATTAATCTTAGAATTGAGGAAAGAGATCATTAATATAAATCTTATTATGAGTTATCAATTTATTATCAATACCTAATAATGAAAAACAAGAAGCTGATATAGATTCAATAATTTTTTCATTATCTGTTAAAAGATAACAAATAGGTTTAAATTATTTGATTAATTTAAATTATCCAACTATCATCGTAGAATCATCATATGATTAAAGCATTCTAATATTTAAAAAACTAGGCATAATGTAATTGTGTTTTTATTTAACAAATATATATCTATCAACATTAAAAAGACTTGAAACATTGAGAGTCATAAATTTCTCTATGTATCTATCATGAAACTTTGCAAATACATTTGGCATAATTAATGTAATCTTTTTATTCAATAATTCTGATTTATTATAAGCTAATACATTACAACAAGCTTTATTGAGATTTGTAATTTAAGAGAATTTATCAACTGTAGTTGCAATAACTATTGTTGGTAAAGCTTCAAGTCCTATATCTTCTGCATTAATAAAAGATGTTGTTGCTTTATTTCTATTTAAACCAACTTATTATTATATTATTCTAGATTTTTCTAATAATTCTTCTCCTTGTTCTTTATCTTATAGAACTTCAATCTAAAACTTTCCATATAATCTAAGTGCCTTTGTTAAATTTGTGCTTTACTTTTACATTTTCTTCCATAGATCCTCTATTTATACTATTGAATTATTTATTTTTTATCCAAGTTCATTCAATTTGCTTAAATCAGGAAAGTCTTCTTACAATAATGACCAGAAATCCATATGAAGCAATGATGATCTTTCAATATATCTTTATAATGTTTTATAGTTATTTTAGAACTATAATTCATTACCAATGTCAAAACTACCATATCCCTCATTTGAATTTAATTCATCTTCTATTAGTTTTTTAAATCTATAAATTATAAATTCTTCATCAAATTTTGGAAATAATTATTCTATTGCTTAAAGTTCAATTAAGGCATTTTGTTTTTATTTCATTTTTTCATATAAATAAATAGCAAATCTTAATCTCAATTTAATACAATTTTAAAATTTTTTTGTTTAATTTAAATACATTTAATATAATACTATAGATAAATCTACATCTCTCTCTTATAAATTACTGTCATTAAGACCAATTTTATTTCTTCTATAATTAGGTAATCCCTTTAATTTTAAATGACAATCATCTCTTATACAAGTAATTTTATGATGATCCAAAAAACCATCAATAACTAATCCTGATGTTTGATCATTTTAACTTTCATATTACAATTACAATAAAAAATTAGTTAAATTATAAATTTATTAAGGCTATTAACAAGTTGCTAAATTTGTCATTAGAATTTCATATTATTCATTCTAAGGACGAAGTAATGTTATAACTAATAAAGGTAGTCCTCCCATCCAAGAAAATATTAATCCAAAAAATAATACTCCTTCTAGATATATAGCAAAACAAAGCATAGAGACACCCCATAAATGAAATGTTACTAACATTGAATAGGATTTCTATATTATATGATTATTATATGGTTTTTCTACATGAAAACACCAAAATACAAGAAAACTACCTATTAACATTATTAAAATATGAACATATTCATAGAATTTGTCATTCATATAAGTATAACATATAACCATTACCAATTCATATAATAATAAATAAGTTGTGCATTTACTTTATTTTTTTGAATTTAAATTTTATGGTAAATAGTTGACTTCATAATAAACCATTGAAAATAACAAAGTAATAAAACTAAAAATGATTACACCTATGATGGCAACTATTCCATGTACTATATGTGCATTAGCCCAACATTAAACATCAAATAAATAATGTTAAAAGTAACCTGTACCATCATCATAACAAGCTAACATAGCTAAGAAAACATCTACAAAAGGTAAAAATAATATTGATAAAAAAAATTCGATCAGTGTTCTAAGAATAGCAATAGCCCAAGTAAAGCTTTGATTTTATTTATTTGAATAAAAACCAATAACGCATATAAGCATGAGAGTTATCAAGAATAATGATAAACAAACATACATTAAAACAACAAAATATGAGAAACTATCTTTATCAAAATAAGGGGTAATCATAAAGTAACTAATATTAGTAAAATTATTACTTGAAAAAAGTATGTAATGGTTAAGACACTGTTGTCACTTACCATATTTTCCAAATTTATCGATTAAATAAGATAGCATTCAACTACATATATTAAATGAGTCTCATCAGTAGTTAAAATACAACTGATTGAGACTCAATCTTTAACATTAATGTTACTATCTTAAATATTAATTGCTTCATTTCTAATGTTAATTTATCTACAAATGATCCTTCATTGTCTAACTACGTTTATGCATTGTTGTAATTTGATTTTGATTCCATGAATAATTTAATTTATAAAATATTAATACATTTTATTTAAAAACAAAGAATCTAACTCAATTAACCTTGTATAATTGAATTAATTTTTATTCTCAGTAAATTAATGAATTGAAAACATAAATTATATTAATAAATAAGAAGATTTTATATAAAACTAATCATCTAGTGAAAAACTTTCCACCTTCAATATTTCTTGAATAACCTGGATTTGTACATTTCGAATGAGTATCATTAAATACATATGGAGATTTACCTACTCCTGGTAAACAATAACTAAAAAAATAATTATTTTATAATACTGATTGAATTTGTATTACTTTAATAATTTTAATTTCTTTAGATCCTAGACTTTTTCTAATAAACCCTTTTATTTTGTAATTAGATCTTAATTTTATACTATATCATCAATTATATTGTGTTCCTTAACTTATTGATGTATATAATCAGTTCGTTCACTCAAATTCCTATTTCTTTCAGAAACTTTTAAACTTGCAATTTTGAATTATCCTTTACTTGAATTAACTGATTATTAAAATGAGTCTTTCTTTTAAGATGAATAGTATTGGACAGTTTTATCAAGTTTTGCTTAATATAATTGATGTTTTTATAACTATTCAAAAAATTCCATTTTTTTATTCTCAGGATCAAGATATTTGTTTCTTTACTAATTTTTTGTTTTATCATTTATTCTCTATGTAAAAGGTTAATAAACTCTCTCTTAAGATGCTCTATTTAAATAATATAAATTATTCTCATAGAATGAATCTTCTTAATTAGAAACTGTAGGTAAAGTTGGATTGTGTATTAGAGGATGATTTTAAGTTCTCATTAAAAATTGCTTAATAAATATTTAAAGATTAATTAAATTCATTTCAGCAGATCAGATAAAATATTTTAGGCATCCAATACTGTTTATTTGGCTTCATTCATACCATTTATAACATCAAATGATAAAAATCCATGAGGCATAGACTAATATTCAATCAATCTAGCATCTCTTTTTAATTATATCAATCTTTATAGAAATCTAAAACTTTCATCATGCAAAGGATCATAGGTTCCAACTTATATTCTAGTCTTTGGAAATCTTTTAAGAATATCATCACTAGCTTTTGATGGGGACAACATTGGATCTAAATTAGGATTGAATTCTTTCTCAATATATGACTTTAAACATAACTTTAAAACAGTATGATGAAGCACTTTATATTAAAATTATAATTATACATGAATCATCCAAAGATACTAAAAAACTTGGAGTAAATTATTTTATATCCAAAGATAATGCTGGATAAGCCAGTAATATACCATCAGGTATTCTAACTCCTGCTTTAATTGCTTATATAGTTAAAGCAGCAACAAGATTACCTCCTGCACTATCCCCAACTAATACTATTTTATTTGGAACTATATTATAATATTATTCAATGAATGTTAGTATAAACATATACGCTTACCAACAGTCATCTAGTCCTGCTGGATAAGGATGATTTGGTGCCATTCTGTAATCTATTGAGAATATAGGTACTTTCAAAGCATTTGCCCATTTTCTTGTGTATGTTTAATGTGATCTAGAAGACATTGCTACAAAACCACCTCCATCTATATAAATTAAATATATTTAAATATACGTATGTGAATAACTATTTTATCAAAAATAGTATCATTCTTAGTTAATTATCCTACAAATTATTAGAAAAGAGATTGTTTTTTTTGTTTTAAGGTTTCATGACATAGAATTCTAACTTATACTCTATCTAATTTTTTAGATAATAAATCATCTAAAGTTAACTTATTTTCTGGATAAAATAGACCACAATCATTATTGATTTTATTGATTGTGGATCTTTTATATTGATTTAAAATATATTCAGATGAAATACATCTAAAGTATCTTGGGATATATATCTTTTAGTTAAATTAAATTTAAGGAAATATTGCAGGTAATAGCATTTTGACAAGACCTTATTCAGGGAGATTCCAAGCCTTAAAAACATCTTCCTTTCTAGGATCTGCTAGAAAATGATTTGCTCTACTTTTCATTTTTTATTTATTCAAAGCATAAATTAAAAAACCAAAACCTTACATAAATTTTTACTTTATTTCTCCTTCATATTCAGATCCTTTTGAAATCATAGCATTTGCCAATAAAATTCCCTCACAAACTTTATCATAAGATTATCTTATTTATTCATGATCAGCTAATTGCTTTTATTCAATATAGTTTTTTAATTATTGCCAAAATATATGTTATTAATTAACAGAAAAAAGATCATCTTATTTTACAGCTATAGCTCCAGGTAATATTTCTATACAGGATTATAATTTAGAGCAGTATATAGAAAATTTTCTATTTTGTTATTTATCTTAATTAGGAAATTTATTTAGTAATTCCCAAACTTTATTTAAGATAAAATTATTTAAATAATCAAGAACCAAATTAGTTGTATATTAGTTAATCTAATTGTATGTTTATGCGATATTGTAATTTTGATGTTTGGAATTGAATCCAAATTCTTTTTATTCTATCAAAGAATATATCTATTCAATTTACATTAATCCATCAGTTGAAATTTCAATTAATTAAAGAGCCTTTGTACATGAATCTTAATAGTTATTATATTTATTAATGATATTTTAAGAGAATCCTAAAATTTAGTTGAACATTATTATAGAATTTTAAAGATTTTATTAAAATTTATCTTTAACTATTCTTGATTATATATTGAGATGATGTTCTGGATGTACAAATTCCATTTCTTCATTCTATTCTAAACTATAATTAAATAGACTGTCATATTAAATAAATTGCATATTTATTTATTAATATGATTGTTTAATAAATATCATATAAATATATTTAATAAGAAATAAAAAGAACAATAATTAATATTTTTAAGGAAATAAAATAAATAAAGAATGACTTTAAAATATATATTAATATTCATCAAAGGTTGATTAGAAATTGACTTAAATTTTGTAAAATTAAGTATAAAATCTTATATTTATTTTAATTATTACAAATATCAATATAGTAACTTTAATATACAATTGCATTCTTTAAGATATTGGGTTAAAAGTGAAAATTTTATGAATAAATTTCTGATTATTAAAATACCTTAATTTGCCATAAGATTTCAATGTCAATGAAGTCTTAACTTAATAAAGGGAAAGCAGAACTGACTAGGTCTAACTATCTTAAAAAATTACAAAATCTTTAAATTTCAATCACTACACTTCCAAATAGTGCAATATAGGTTAAAACACCAAATGTTTCAATTATCAATAATTCTTTTAAAATATTATCATAATAAACTACTCCTAAAACTATTTAAGAAAATAATTTCTTTAGTAGTCGAGATTTTGATGTTAATGAATTAAAAAAATAACATTTACGTACACAATCTCAAATTGAAGGTTTGCTTTTGAGAACCTAATTAGTTGAAACAGCTCGATAAAGAACAGCCTCAACTTTTATAAAGAAGCCTAAAGCTGATGTTAAGCCTGCTAAGGTATATAGAATAATCTAGTAAATGAATTAAGAAGATGAATTAAGAAAATAAGAAAAACTAAAAAAAATATAGTTAATGCAATAAGTAGAAATGGAGAAAAAAGAAAAAGAGAAGCAAAATCAATAAAAAGAGTCCACTCCTAAAATTAATTCTCTTACATCAATTTTATCTAAAAAATCCAATGCTGCAAAATATAAATTATTAAAAGTTAGTCTAAATGTTATAGAAAAATCAAAAGAAAAAATTTAAATGAGTTCTATAAGGGATGATTCTGTTTAAATTACTTAGAATGTAAAAATAAGAGAAAAATAAACAGACACTATTTTTAAAATATCAACTATTATAACAGCCTTAATGTTTTAACGACTTCATTCTAAAATAACATCTCCTAAATTGGCAAGATTAGTATCAAAACATTATTTAAGTCTAATAAATTATAGAAAAATTGAGGAAAGACTTTTAGCTTTAACTACAAACCCTTCAATGAAATATATATAAAATGTATTAAATGAAGATGATGTTTTAAGTAATGCAATAAAGGTAGTTTAAGTAAGAGAAATATAAAGAAGATTAAATGAAGGACTTTCATAAAGAAGAAAGGCTTCAAAAATAATTTTCTAAAAAAAATCTAGTAAAGAATTAAGAGCTGAGGATATTTTTTCAGAGAAAGTACTAAAAAGAGTTAGATTTATTTAGATGTGTTTTAGAATGAAAGTTTTTAAATTTAATAAAAGATCTATAGTTAATTCTAAACCTATTGAGAAGATAAGAAAATCTACAAAAGTAAGAGCATTTAAAAGAAGACTTGGTGATATCATATTTATGAGTGAAAATGTTCCAGTATTTTAATTATAATAGGAGAAAAAAGAATAAGAAGAGAAAGAGAAAGAAAAGATTTAAATAGAAGAAAAGAAAGAAAATCTTGGAGTTTTTGGAATGCTTTGGAAAGCCTAAAATAAATTTAAAAATTTTTGTAGACATCCAGGTTTAAAAATACCATCAAAAACTTGTGATGATTGGGTTAAACACATTTAAACATTATATTATCCTAGTTTTAGATATATTTCAGTTTTTTATAGAAATATTGTAGTCTGGTCAGTATCCTATTATGATGTTACTTATGATAAAAGTTGTATTGCCCTATTTTTTAAAGGAGAAGGTCGTTAGTAATATCATTTTCGTTTAGATATTCCACTTGTCACAATGCCAGACTTTGAAGTTAATAAGAATTGTACAACAGTTTGGCCTACAGTAAAAGATTACATGCTGATTTATTTAAGATAGAAAGGATAATTGGCTTTATTGAATAAGGATTAACTTCCATCGGCTAAAGTTTATAAGACCTCTTTTATTTAAGGACTTTCTCTTAAGTCAAGAAGAAAACTCACTGAACTTGATATTTAATCAATTGTTGAAACTTAAAAAATAATCACTTATTTGTAAAATAATCAAATAGTAAAAATAAAAAAGAAGATTGGAACAACATATGATTTATTACCATAATTATCTGAGACAATTGATTCAGATTTGATTAAATAATACATAATTAATTTACCATTAATTAGATTAATACTTATTGACATATTAGTTTTAGAATAAAAATTATTAGAAAATAAAAGAAAATTAAATTAAGATAGTTAGAATCTTTCTAAAGAATATGTAAATTATATTTAAATTCATTAAGAAATATTAAATTAAATATTATAATTCAGATTTTTACATAATAATAGTGAATTTTTTAATGATTAATTGATAACAAAAATAAATTAATAAGAAACAAAAAAAATATTTATTTAATCTTGTTTTGTAGATATTAATGAAATATTAATATAATCAAATGATGCACTATTAGGATAAGTAAGTAAAACATGTTAATTGAGTATACATTTATGTTATAATGGGAATGCTGTAGTAGATAAATTGTTATTAGATGTGGATAGAATGAGACCAAGATATTAATTTAATAATGAAGCACCATAATTATTTTGGATTAATCCTGAAACATTAGAATGGTTATTTGATTCATCTAAATTTTAATTATAAATTGAAGCATTATTATTTGAAAAAGATAAATAAAATACAGATTAATTTTTTTATTAAACAAATTTACATAGAAGGAGAAATGAAAGAATTTTTTAACCTTTAAGTATTAGTATTTTTCATTTTGAGAAATTAGCTCTTGCAGCTAAGGAAATAATTGATAGTTCTATTTTTGATTAATTTAACATTAATTATATTTTGAAGAATTTGATATTTGAAAGAACAAATTATTCTGTAATAATTAGTTTAATATTAAATCATTTGATAACATTAAATTTTAAAAATAGATAAGTTACCTTAAAAGCATAATATTAACATATACTTTCATCTACTTTAAATTTTATAGAAAAAATGGATCATCACAGTTTATATAATACAACATAAACTTATTTAAAATATAGTATATATCCTCATGAAGAAAAAGATTTAAGAAAAATGAAAGAAACTCGTGAAACTTAAGCTAAATTCGAATATCATTCAATTTTTGATTAATAATTTCAATAGATTGATTAAATTGAAATTAAACCAGAATATGCTTCTAAATAATTAGAAGTAGCATAAGAATATAATTATGATTAAAAATAAATATTTTGGTCATAAGGTGTAAAAAGGTTTGATACATTCCAACATCCAAATTATGTATTTGTACGTCTTAGAGATAAATTTATAATAGTAATTCTATCATAATAAAGAGTAAGAATGATCAATATAACTAGATTAAGAAAACCTTTGATATTAGATTCAAAAAATTCACATATTTATATTAATATTTGTAAATACTCTTAATAAAAGCCATATTAAAAATTATCTCTTTATAGAAAAATGTTTATTATATTATTAAAGGAGAATTGTTTTTTGAGAATTAAAATGGAGAAATTCTATTGTGCAATTAGAGCATCTCTACCAAATTATAGTAAAATAAAAGCTTATTTATTATCTGATTCAAAAGAGTTAATTAATTATCTAAATCGTTTAGATTTTACGTTTACTTTTGAAACTATTAATAAAGCAAAATGTTATGCAAATGTTAAAGTATTCTATTTAGGAAAATAAGAATCATATTATTCTACAAAATATGAATAAATTTATAAATTTGATGGTGAAAATTTGTTTATAAGTCTTTAAATACATGAATTTGATTCAAAGTTAAAAAAATATATATTAATATTCAATAAATTTGATATTGAATAAAGATTTGAAATTTATAATTATTTTTCACCAAATTTAATTTATTAATGGTGTTAAGAATTTGTTGTAAATTTAAAATTTGATAAAAAATTTCTATATAAAACACCTTTTTCAGTTATGTAAATAATAAAATCATAATAAGATATAAAATTAGCATCATTTTGGATTGCTAAAAGATCTTAAAAATGTATTCTTAATGAATATTAAAGAGTTCATTCATATGATTATAGTTAAGCAAAATAATTTTTAAGTTAAAGATATAAAATCTTTAGAGTAATAGCTCATTATATAGAAAAGTTTTATATTGTAAAATAAAATAATTAAATAACAGTATTAAATGAATGTATGTTTCTTTAATTTAAGAATTATAAATTGATTAAGGTTGAATTTGTTATAATTACAATATAAGCTCATACTGTTTTGGATCTCATTTAAATCATTTATTATTTCCCAAAAAGTAAAAAAAGATTAATGACAAATATTAATTTAATTTAAATTTAAGAAATGGATTTTAGTTTAGGAATGATATTTTAATTATTGAATATAACTGAATATTCTACATTTAATGATATTTCTAATTAAGTTGATGAAATACAAAGAGGATCACTTAAATATAGAAGATCTTCAAAATTAAATAGTTAAGTGATGACAAAATTACATATTATGAGATAATCTATTGATGTATCTTAACTTAGTTTTAAAACTGGAAAAATCAAAAGAAGACAAGGATTTGTTGCATAAACTTCTTAAATTAATATTAAAACTAAAGTAATCAATTAAGCAATAGAAAAAAATGAAGATATGTGTTAAAAGGTATTGTAAATAATTGATTTTACAAGATAATTAAATAGTGGTGATAGAAAAAATGATAAAAGATATTTAATAGAAATTATGTTTTGGAGATTAATGTAATAATAAGTATTTTAATTATCAGTTCGTAAAGAAAAGAGATAACTTAAAAGTTATATTAGTTTATTTGATAGATTAGTAGAATTATTTGATAATGAATCAAACAAGAAATATAGAATAATTGGAAAAGAATATTTAGAAAAAAAGTAAACAGATGAAAATATAAGATATAATTACAAAGTATAATCAGAATGTAGAAATTTATATAGAGATTTAATATTAGAATAAGAAATATATATGACTTAAAATTTAAATTTTGGTAAGACTCCTTTTGTAATTAAATGTAATTTAAATGAGATTTCCATTTTAGAATATTTATGTACTAAATAATTCAGAAGTGATAATGGAAGTAGAGGATATATTGAGTATTTCTTAGAAAGAAAATAGAAATCTAAAGGAATTGATTTATTTGAACCTGCAAAACCAATTCTTTATTCAGCATCTTCTAGTTATAATATTTATTTAAGATATTATTGTTTAGCAAATTATCAATATAAAGATATAAGGATTAACTTAAGAGAAATAATGAATTAATTAGTTACAGATGGTCTCTATAAATCATAATCAAATTATATGAATAGTAAAATTAATCTTAGTGATATAATCGAAATGTGTCATTATCTAACATAAAAAATTAAAACATAAAATTACCTTAATTTAGCTAGATTATCATAAATTTAGATTAATTAATTACCAGAAATTTAATAACATATCATCTCTGAATGTGATGATTAATTATCAAAAGAAACTAAACAAAGATCAGGAGATGGTTTTGTATGTACTCAAGTAATTCGAAATAAGAAAAATCATTCTATTTATTAATATTAATTATTCTAAACTACAAGAAAGGTTATTATCAATAAATATGAAATGAGATAAGATTATTTTGAATAGAAAGAGTTTACGTATGCTCAATTAACTTAGTATGTCCATAATTTCATATATCTTATCAAAGCAAAATTATATTATTTAGCTTTGAAAAGATTTTCTTAATGTTACATAGAATTGCAGAAAATTAATTAATGATTATTTATATAATTTAATGAATTATGAATTATCAGTTAATGGATAGAAGGTGAGTATTCTAAAGAGTGCTAAATCCCTTTTAGATTGTCATCTACTAAGACATTAATACAATAGATCTTAAAAGTATACTCCAATCAAGAAAGTCTAAAATTTTCAATTTGCCCTTAATTCTTTAAGTCAAACATAAACATCATGTTAACTATCAACAAATAGATCTAAGCGTACTCTCTAGAGTTCTCAAAAAAGTAAAAGAGAAAAAAGGTTTGTTCCAAGTGAATTAAGTTAAAATTTAGAATTGCTAGAAAAACTACCGAAAAGCAATTAATCATCCATTTAAAGATTGAATTCACCTACTTAACATGTTCCAAATCTTTAATTTAATCTTAATTATCATTTAAGATAGTTAAAATTTAAGTAATAATTATAAAAGGACCAATCTTGGTAAGATTTCTCAATAACTCCTACTCCTAGAGGATTTACAAATAGAGTGTATAAAGTTAAAAAAAATGATCCTAAATTGTAGTTTTATATGGACTGTTCTAAACGTGCAATTGAATGAATATGATATTCAAAAAATATTATTTATTTTATCAATTTTACATTAAGGTTTATGATTATTGATTATCTTTAACTTGATAGGATATATTTTTTATCAAAATAATATAATTTAATAACCCTAAACAAGTTTTATAAAATATTCTAATCTTTTTGCAAATAATTCATTTGACATATTAGATATAATTATTCTGATTAAAATTGGACCAAATTTACAATTCAATACTTGTTGTTAAATAAATATTTATATATTAAAGAATTATATTTTAAAATTATGATATAAGTTGAAGGAATTAATATAGCAGTAGAAGGATGCTTTCATGGCAATTTTGATGAAATATTTGGTGAAATTATAGATATTGAGAAAAAGAAACAAATAAAAATAGATTTATTACTTGTTTGTGGTGATGTTTAAACTATTAGAAATAAAAATGATATGTACAATATGGCATGTCCAAAAAAATATTTAGAAATGGGTTCATTTTACAAATACTATACAGGTGAAAAAATAGCTCCTTGTTTAACAATATTTATTGGAGGAAATCATGAAGCATCTAATTATTTAAGAGAAATGTACAATATAATTAATTATTAAAAGGCATTTTGGAGGTTGGGTATGTCCAAATGTCTATTATTTGGGGAATTCAAATGTAATTGAAGTTAAAAAAGGGAATACTACATTTAAATTAGGTGGTAATTCAGGAATATTTAATAATCATGATTTTAATAATCCTAAATTAGAAAGTTTTCCATTTACATAAGACTAATTACATTCTGTATATCATATAAAATAATTTGATTTATATAAATTAAATTTATATGAAGGAGATATAAATATATTTTTATCTCATGATTGGCCATTATGTAAATTTAGATAATATCTTATTTAGCTATTGAGAAACATGGGAATATAAATGATTTAATTCGTAAAAAAAAACATTTTGAAGCAGATATTTTAGATGGGAAATTTGGGAGTATTTCACATTAATATCTATTAAATAAACTTTAACCTAATTTTTGGTTTGCAGCACATATGCATGTAAAATTTGAGGCACTAGTAAATCATCATTCAAATAAAAAAACAAAGTATTCAAATTATTTGAATTTAATAGATTTTTGGCTCTTGATAAATGTTTACCTGGAAGAGAATTTTTATAAGTATTTACATATACAAAAGAAGGAGTAGATTTATATAATTAATTTGCTTTCAATAATGAACCAATAGAATTATATTATGATCCAGAATGGTTAGCAATTATGAAAACTACTTTTAATTTATAATTAATTTGGGATAAAATGCCAAAATTATTTGATATAAATTATGCATAAAAAGAGTATAATAATATATTAATGTAAATTTAGATTAAAAATAATAAGATGGTAAAAATATTAACAAATGTTATAAGCAAAATAATAATTATTAATTAATTATAAAAATCAACGAATTAAAATACCAAATAATTTCTAAATCACAGCTACTCCTTATTATAAAAATGATCCAACAAATAAGTTAACTTTCCCCAATAGAGTAATATTAAATAACCAAATTGATGATTATTTGAAATTGTTTAATGAATCAGGTTTATAATTAAATGGATTTCTATTTTATGAACCTCAATAACCATAAAAAAAAGAAATATAAAATTAGTTTTAAGTAATCAATAAAATTGAAATACAATAAAATAAAGAAAAAGTAAAATAAGAAATTCTAAAATAATTGGATTAATAATAGAAATAATAAAAAAAAGATGATAATTTAAATATATTAGATTTTCCATTTTTATAATGAAAATAAAATAAACATAATTTTAAAATACCTAAATATAGTGAATCAAAACTAAATATGAACAGGAATTCTTTCATATAAAATATTATTGCGCATTAATTGATAATTAAAGGATTGTTTAATTTGAATATTTTTTCAATATTAATAAATTTGGTATGATGGCTCATGCTGATTTCATAGAATTCAAGGCATCAAGATCTCATTCACAATACAAGTTGAACTCTATTGATTTCGATGATTTTGCATACAACTTGAATAAAACGATATACAATTTTTAAAAGTCATAAGAAGGAAAAACGATAGATAAAATTTCTAAATTTAGAAGGGCAAAGAGCTTCTTAAATGTTAAAAAACATGAATAAACTAATACTCTCTATTAGACCTTCAGTAGGAACGCTCCTGGGTTTGATGAAAGTGAAACAAAAGAACTTATGGAGCTTATTCTCTAGTTAGAATATTTATTCATTCTCTACCACAAATTCTATCCAGATCAAAGTAACCCAAATTTACTCACATCTTATTTAAATTGTTTAACCTACAATAAAGAAAGTATATAATTAACTATTTTATAGAATATTTTGATAATTATACCAACGACATCTCGGAAACCCTCCAAATGTCAATTTTACGTAATTCTTAATAAAGAATTATTGAAGAAAAAACTGATGAAAACCTAATAAAATTTTTAGTCAATGAGATCAATAGAAGGAATAAATATAAGAAAAATATGTAACTTATCAGAAGTGATTTAAATAAATTTTAAAAACTTTAACAAAATTATGAAATTCAACGAAAAAATAAATAATTAGAATATACTAAATCAAATATGTTAGTGGCATCATTAAAAATAATATTAAAAAATGTAAAATATAATATTTATAAATTAGGATTAAAATCATTCAATTAATGTTCGATTTCCATTAATTGATCAAAATAAATCATTTTGTTTGGATTTTGAGAAATTACTGAAATAAGGAGATATTCATGATCTATTTAAATAATGGAATAATTACATTGACATAACATCTTCTCATTCAGAAATAACATTATTAATCTCAATAATATAAGATCTATTTTAAGAAGAAAGTTGGATAATCAAATCCATTCTAGAATAAGTATAAGATGAATCCATCATCTCTACTGATAAAATAATCTTATAAATAGGAGCTTTAACATAATTCTGTCCTAAATGTTTGACTGTTATGGATAGAAGTCATAAAGAAATTGCTTATTTGCTATAATCTAAACTATAACAATAATTATCGAATCTTTAGATTAATGAAAATCTAAGTATTGAAAAATAGGTTATGATTATGTAAAACTCATAAGAAGAATTAGAAAAGGAAGATTAAAGACATAGTTTAGAGAATGCTTTGTTATAATCAAATAATATCAAAATGTGTTTAATACCTTAAGGATTAATGAGCTAATTATTCTTTATTCATAGATATTCTGATAATGGTATTTAAGCAGAAGAAGAAGATGATGAATAAAATTAAATTAAATTTTAAGAATAAAAAAAAGAATATCAAAAACAAACCCAATTAGAAAATAGTTAAATAAAATTTAATAGATAATTTGTTAGATAGGCCTCAAGAAGAACTAGTTTAATAAGTTTTGGATATTCTGAAATGTAGGCTGAATATTCAAATTTTGAACCACTAAGGCAAAAATTAACAGATATGAAAATTCATTCAACTGTGTATATGGAAAATGTCGATAGAAAGGAATGGAAGAAGATTTTTGATAAAATTAAATAAGAGAAGATGAATAATTAAGATTTTCTAAATAACCAATCAATTTCTTCAAATTCATCATTTGAAATAAATTGTAATGATGAAAAATTTTTGAAATAAATGAAAGTATTCTTATAAAATCAATAAATGAGAAGATAATGAGATCTCTGAAGAGAAGAATAATTAATGAAATTTTTGTACATTTTGTATATACAGAATATAATTTTACAATTTAATTTTGTTTTCAAGTTTCTTATGTCTTATTCAGATTAATTAGATGACTTTATATTAGTACTCAAATTATTAAAAAGAAGATATTTCTATTATATTTAAATAACTATTTTAAGGAAAATAATTAAAAAAAATATTTTTGTATAATTTAGACAATTAAATAATGAAAATAATCTAATCAATAAACTATCTTATAAAAAACTTATTAAAATTTAAAATAAAAAAGAAATAATAATTCAATGAATTCATAATAGACAAGAGTATTACTTAACTTAATTTTGAATTTATAATTATTATTGACTATAATTAATACTTTAAAAAGAAGAAATTTTTCAATGGATTATTATATAAAAAATTAAATATATAAAGATGATATTTGTTATTATTAGAAAATCTACCATAATTAAACATAAACTTATACTTATTATATATTTGTTTATAGAATTAAAAATTTCACAATTGTTTAAATCATTTAAAGGAATGTAATCGTAATGGGGAAGTACCACCTCCACCATTTCCTGTTGTATTATTTACTACTTTTTTAACAGTCTTAAAGCTTTAGATTGTTTTAGATAATGGTTTTTTCATTGTGTCTGCAAATGTTTTTCCTCTTAATTTATCTCCTAACTTTCTTAATTTCCATCCCTTTTTTATTGTCATGAAAAAAAAGGAAAATTTAGAAAATTCTGGATATAATCTTTTTTTACCAAAAAACTTTTATAATCTAGTATATCTATTATAAATAAATGAAATAAAGTACCTTTTTATAACTGAATCATAATTATTAAATGGAAAATAGTACAAAAATGTTTACATTTTATCAAATTAAGCTAATATTGTTGTAGATGTATGTTGATTATAAGTCTAATTATCCATAAAGGAAGTAGGATTAACATCATTTGTCATTTCTCTTCCTTAATTTCTAGTAAATGTTCTGGTAGCATTTGACTATTTTTTAGATGTAGGTCTTCTTGCATTATTTCTAATTTCTAAATCAGATGGAGTTGGAGGATATATTTTTTCAGGAGTCAAAGTTCTTTTAATAGTTTAAGAATTTCTTCCTTTTTAAGTGTAAGTGTGAGATCTTTGAGTTGATGAACGAGGTATGATTTCCTCTGCTGATTCTTTTCTAGTAAATGTTATTTTTGATTATTGATTTCTAATAGCTTCTTGGCTTTTATTTGTAGGAATAGGTAATTACATTAGAACTTGATCTTTTTCTTCTTCAGATTCTTCATCAGAACTTTCTTAATATTCATCATCTCTTAGAATATCAACATGTGCACTATCTCTCATTCCACCTCCAAAACCAGCTGTTTAAAGTGTTGTTCTTGGAATTACAACCTTTCTTGAGTAATTTTTAGAATCATCTTCTTCTGTTTCTGTTACTTAATTCAATTAAGTCTATTTTTAACTTAGTTTACTAAATGTTCTTGAATTACTTCTTTGATTTAATGAAGATGGAACATCAATTTCAACTAAAATTAATAAAATATAATAATAAACCTTCATCTTCATAAACATCATTTATTAGATTAGAATGTTGATCCAAATCTTCAAAATCTGTACCTTTACTAGCTAAATATTATAGTTCTTGCTAAAGTTCTTTAGCTTTTGTCATAATATACTTTTATATAATCCAAGGACTTGATTCTTTATCTCTTTCTTATCTTCCTCTAACTTTATTTCTTTTTTAGTCATATGGATAAAGTTCTCTTTTTAATATAGCTTCTTTATCAGCACAGAAATGCACATAATGACATTTATCAATTAAATGTTAATTACTTTAGCAACTATAACAATTTACTTATAGTACACTATAATCTTATTACATTAATGTATGATTTAATTGACAATATTTTTCATAATCATTAGGATATGATAGTAAGATTTTTATAAAGTTTTCTCTTTTAATTTTAAATACTTTTGTAAATGCTCTTGAAATTGCAGTTGCTTTTCTTGGTTAACCAGTAAAGAATCCTAATTCTCCAAAATAATCACCTTATGTTAGGAATTTTAAACTATTTCTTTTAGTTTTTTCATTTAAATTGTTTAATCCTTCAAAAATGATTTCAACTTCTCCTTTTGTTATTATATATAAAGATGAATCATCACTTTGATTAATAGTAATTATTCTTTCTTCTGGAGAGAAACTTTATTCCTCCATTTAACCCAACAATTACTTTATCATTTTCTCAGAAAAAGTTTTGATCATAACTTTACAGCTACTCAAAATATTTCCTCTTAATTAATATTATAATTCTTCTTATAAATTACTACTTAATTTACCAATTAATGTTGCTACTTCTTCATCATTCATATTTTATTCTTCTTACCATATATATTCTAAATAACTTCTTATTCTTGTTTATAATTCAAATTAGATTTTATTTTTAGACATAAAAGTATTTATTAATGTTACACTTCTACTATATTCCATTGCTCCTTTATACATATTAGATACAAATATTCCTATACTATTTACAGAATAAGCAAAAACTATTGAAGCTATAAGCATTGTTAAATTATTGATTAACAATTCAAGATTATTCTTGGCTGTTATATCTCCATAACCTACTGTTGTCATTGTCATTGTAGCCCAATATATTGCAGTATTATATTTTGAAGCATTTCCTTTATCTCTTAATTCATAAGCATCTAACCAAGAATAACCATCATTATAAAATGCTATACCATGCCAAACACAAGCACAAATATGTGCTATAAATACAATTATCATTGTTAACTTTATTAAACCTACCAAATCATTTAAAGAACCATACAAATTAAAAAATCTAGAAATTCTATATAATTTATTACTCCTATATTTATGCTAGGATCTTATTAATCTTAGTCATTCTTAGAACATAAAATACAGCACATAATGCTATTTAAATGGCTAACATTTAATTGGAATCTCCATTACTTGTTAAAATAAAAAACTATAGGGTTATAGTACTGAGTGAAACCTTGAATACTTATATATTCACAATAAGATACCAAATCTACAAAGGCATATTATCGAAAATAATTTATAATTATTCTCTTTCTATTTCTAATTATTATTCCTTTATAAATAAATGCTAAATTCAATCCTACAAAAACATCTAAACTAAGAATAGACAAAAATAAAATCTCTAATATTTATTTTGTTTAATTATAACCTAAGAAATCCCCTATAGATTCTAATTTAAAAGAAATCTTATAAGGAAGCCAAAAAAATATCAATATATATATTAAAATTTAAAAAAGGCCCCAAATAAAGATAAACTAACTATAAGGTGTAAAAACTTCAATATATGAGAAAAATCTTTTAATTGCTTCCACTTTTGTAAAAGTTCTTCTCTAATCTTGATAATATGTCTCATTTTCTAATTATAAATCATCCAAAACTTAAACCTAATAACTAGATAATTAATCCAATTTCCTTAAGTAAGATCTATTCCAAAGATTATGAATGAAATTATTTTAAATACTCTTTGCTATTATTAATTTAAGAAATTAAGGTTTCCCATTAGATTCAACATCATCTTCTGCTACATATGCTGATTAATATTCAGATCTTTTCATTCCCTTTGTTGATTTATGCATCTCTATAGGTGCAGCTTATATAGATTATTAACTTATGTCTGCTAATTTCATTTAATCAGGAACAGTGAATGAATTCCAACTTGCTGGAAGAAATCTACTTGAATCTCCATCTCCTACAATTATCCTTCCAGAGAGCATAATCGGAGTTGGACCTTGAAATATCTCATCTTATAAACTAAATGAGTTCTGTTAATTCTCATTTGAAATACTCATTAAATAATAATATTATCACTTTGAAAGTGGATGTTAATAAATATTATAATTCATAATTAGATTTATTTTGTTATCGGCAAGTATATTCTAATTAGTAAAACGATCAAGCTTAACTTTTATTTATACTATTATTATCACTGATATGATGAAAGTAGCAATTGTTAAGAGAGTAAATTTAGTATTCCATTCTAATACAAACATAACTAAATTTAATAGCAATTTTGGATATATGGTATAAAAACTAGTGATTAATGCTGTTTAAATAAGATTATTATTTGATTTAATTTCTTGACCAAAAACAGTTTATAAATTTAAACTATCCACATAAAATCTACACATTGAATAAAAAACACCTGCTAAATGAATAAATGGAATATTTGTAGAAAATGTCATTACAATAAATAATACAGTAATTTACAATCCATAATAATATCCATATGAAAATATATCTCCAAGAGGTTAGAGATAAGGATAAATCTTAAAATGCTTTCTTTTTAATTAAGTATATTAAACACTTATGTAACTAGTAAATATTTCATCTAATCTCAACATTGTTATTAATGATACGCAACCAGCTTAGATTATTATTCCTATAAAAAATCTCCCATTGTTTAACTTATATTTAGTAAAATAATATTACAAAATAAACAGCTTGTATTGCTGAAATCATATTTGTGGCACCTTACATAACAATTTAATAAACATTATGAACAGCCAAAAATGAAATTGATGGAATCACCAACATATTCATTGTTAAATAAAAAACACATGGGTTAAATATTCTAATCTAATATTATGATTTGCTAATATGTCTTTCCCATCTAGAAGACAATTAAATTAATAAAAGTAGAGCACTATTTATCAATACAACTAAAATCAAAGAGAAATATTATCTAAATATTGATATCTTCCCTTATTCTTCTTCTTTTATTATTGATTTATCAAATCCTATAAATTCTATGATGCTTGTTGGAGTTGTGAAAAATAGTAAAACTAAAATAAGAAGGATTTATAACAAAAACCTTCTTAACATTAAATTTTTTAAAGTAGTATTTAAATATATGTAAATTACATCAAAAGGATCTGGAGCTTCATATGCTAAAATATAAGTATTACTGATTTTAATTCTATCAGCTTCTTCATTTTCTGCAACATTAACTTTTTAACAGCCTGCAAACTCCATATTAAATAATTATAGACTTTAATTAACTGCTTAAACTGAATCAAAAGTTATAATAGCATGACCACTGTTAGGTTCAACTTAAGGAATTTCTTTTAATTTTGGAGAAAAACAACTTAGAAGTAATTGATTTTTATGTTGCAAATATAATTCATTTTCTTTATGATTCTTTATTTCCTTAATGGGATATTTAGGAATTATCACTACAGATAATACTCTAGCAGGTATATTAACAAATAGTAATTAAAAATAATTTTTAATATCTTCTTATGTCACATCTTCCTTTATTCCTTTTATAAATATAGAATGTTATCTTATTATATCAACTTGTCCTTCTGAGTGTATCTCTGAATTTTTAATCTCCTCTAACATATTATAAACAAATAGCATCAGCATTCCACAATATATTAAAGTCATACAAAATTAGAAAGAAGGAGTAAAGTCTTAATCAATAATTATCAAACTAGTTTTTTTTGCTGGAAATATACCTGATATGATGGCAATAAAAAAAAATGCTAATTATAATTTTATAAGGGATCTAATGAAATAGAGATACTAGTATCCATCAATCCTAATCAAATTATAATTTCAAATACCCACAAACTCTAGTATAATATTCCTTATCAAATGCTAAAAGAAGTTTAATATTATGCTTTATTGTTATGAATGAATTTTATATCAGCAGTATTGATCCATCTTCTGGTCCTGGAAAGTAAATTCCTTTCCTTACAAATAACACATGATAGCAAATTAAAGTGAACAATATGAGTAAGAAATTTAATCCAAATACAGATGTTAATTCAACTTATTAACTCATAAATTTAAATATATATATATATATATAATTTAATATAAATTTATAATTGAATTGAATCATCCTTTTCTTATTTGTTAAATTAATTATATTTTTGATATAATTAGATAATGAAAACTATATAAATACATATATCATCATATTTAAACAATTGATTATAAAGGTTATGATTTTTAATTTTAGAAATTTGATGACTTAAGTATATAATTTGAATTATAAATATGATAATTAATTATTATCAAAAAGATAAATATATCATTTTCTTTAAACTATATAATTTAATAGAATGAGATATATAAGATTCATAAAAATATTATTTAAATTACTTATAAAAATTAATAAATTCACCACAATGAATTTGCTTCAAAGAAATTGGGCTCATATTTACTAGGTTTTGCGAAATTTCTAATAAAGTACTTTCTTAATTCTTCCCAACAAAATAGACACATTGAATATGGTAGACCAGGCATTCTAATAATCATAATATCATTAATTTACCCTAAATTTAAAATATCAACTGGTCTAGCACCAAACCATGTATTTACTCCAGGTATATAAACAATACAAATAAAAATAATAGTCTCAAGAAGGACACCATAAAACATAACTACATTAATTGGAGAATAAATCAAAGACATTTTACGTTCTAAATATAAATCTTTGTAATATACATTTGCAAGAAAAGACATTAGACCATTAAACAAGTACGACAGCAACAAAATATGATGTTTAAGCATATTTAAGTGCAGCAGTTTTGAAACAAGCATTAGTATTAATGGGATATGAGTTATTTTCAAGTAAGGAATCAGATCTATCGAAATATCGACAGAGTTCATCTGAATTTTAATTTTACCATTCTTTAAAGATTGGGAACCATCTATCATATCCACTATCGTAATATACAAAGATATATCTTAAATCATAGTAAATAATTTCAGGATTTATCCAATTAAGTGGAGTTTTTTAGAAACCAATCTATGAAGTATATCCATCTGTAACTTAGAGGATAGGAGCTTATTACCAATCAGGACTGTAAGGTTGAGTAGTTAAAAATGGACTAAAAATTAATTGAAATATTTACTTATTCATATTTGGTAAATCCCATACCCAAGTTGTAGGAGGTGGAGTATAAGGTTTCCCATTAGCTAAAGTAATAGATGGCCATGGAATTTTTTAGTATGGAGTATTCAAAAAATTAAGAAGTAATTATGGAGGGAATCCATATTCATTCATTGTGCTAAAATAACTAAAGAAACCAGCAGAAGTGGCAATAATTCCTTATAATAAGTAAGCATGAGTGATTAATCTTAGAGATACTAAATGATCATCTTTCTTTCTGGGTTAACGAGTCATAATATCGATTTCTGCTTCTTCATAGGCAAAGGAAATAGCAGGTAAAATATCAGTTCCAATACAAATAGTGAGAATAAAGGCATTGCTTAAAGGTAATGGTAATCCAATAGCAATTTCACCAACATATGGAAAGACTTCTGTGATATTTGAAGTAAGTAAATAGACTATTGTCTTTTTAAGATTGTCAAATATCTTTCTACCTTCTTCAACACCATCAACAATAGATGCAAAATCATCATTTAATAATATCATATCAGCAGCATCTTTAGTGACATCGGATCCACTAATACCCATTGAAATACCAATATCCCCTTGTTTAATTGCTGGAGAATCATTTACACCATCTCCTGTCACTCCTACTACATGTCCTATGTATTGACAGGCTCTTACTATCATAAGTTTTTATGCTGGAGATGTACGTGCAAATACAACTTAAGGTTTACTACACCAACTTTTAAGTCTTCTATCTTTCATTTCTTCAGGTACAAATTCTCCATTCTAATTTTCTTCCTCTATAGCTTATACAATCATGTCTCCATGAATTACAATTGCAGGTGCTAATCTAAAAGCTTCATCATAAGACATCATTGGATTTTCCTCCAATAAATCATCTACTGTCTTTCCTGTGATGATCCCTATTTATTTAGCTATTGCACCTGCTGTTGGTGGTTAATCTCCTGTTACCATAATTACCTTTATACCTGCTGATTAACATTTTTTTATTGCTAATGGCACTGTCTCTTTGGGTGGATCCATTAATGATAATAATCCTAAGAAAGTAAAACCTTCTAATTTGAATCTTAATGTATCAATTGAATTCAAATTAAATTTATATCCTTTTTAAAATTCAGATCTTGGTAAATGAAGTTTTGCAAATCCCAAAACTCTTTCACCTCCTTTACCAAATGATACATTAACTGATTTGAATTTCTGTGTTATCTACTCATCTATTGGTTGGTTTCTACCTTCTATTAATAAGTAACTTGAAAATGTCCATAACTTTTCTGGTGCTCCTTTTATATATACACAGTAATAAGAATCTTATGTCTCCCAATTGACAATACATAATGAAAATTTATTAGTTGAATTGAATGGCATTTTTGCTAAAGATTTATCTGATAATTCAACAAGTTATCTTCTTTATCTTGTACTTTCAATATCTTCAATTGGTTAAAAGAATTTAATTAATGCTGTTTCTGATGCATCTCCAAGTGTTGGTGTATCTAACCAATTGACAGTAGCCTTATCTTTAGCTTAAATATTAAACTTGGCTTCACTAGTTATAATTGCACAATCATGTAGATCTCTAAAGGTAGGATCATTAGTATCATATTCATATTCAGTATTCCTTCCATGTTTAAGTTTATTCAAAGCAACTCTCTTTAATCCATCATACCAAACATTTGCTACTGTCATTTTATTTTATGTCAAAGTTCCTGTTTTGTCAGAGCATATACAACTTGTTGATCCAAGGGTTTCTACAGCTTCTAAATTTTTGACTAATACTTATTTATCAGCCAATCTTTTTGCTGTTATAGCCAAAGATACTGTAATACACCCTAATAAACCTTCTGGTACATTTGCAACTATAATTCCTATTGCTTAACCTACTGCTGTATCAACAGATGCATCTTCAACCACTAAGGACAAAATCAAAAATAATATTCCTAATCCTACTGCTATACATGAGATCAATATAACAAATCTCTTTAATTCTTTATTTAAAGGAGTTTCTGGAGTTTCTCCGCCTGTAGCTAAATCTGCTATTTAACCCATCACTGTATTATCACCTATTTAAATTACTAAACCTTTTCCTGATCCTTCCTTGCATAAAGTACCAAAAAATGCTAGATTCTTAGTTTCTAAAGGATTTTCACTTGTGAGTTCTGTTACTCTAAGTAATGGATCACATTCTCCTGTTAAAGCAGAATTGTCAACTTTCATTTCTCTTGATTAAATAATCCTAACATCAGCAGGAATTTTATCTCCCATTTTAATTTCAATTATATCTCCAGGAACAAGTTTTTCAGCTGGAACTTCTACTTTTTCTCCTCCTCTAATAGCTATACATCTCTATGGAAGGAAATTCTTAAATCCTTCCATTAATGCATCAGCTTTTGCAGATTAATTGTAAGTTATTGAGCCAGTTAATAAAATAATGGCTATTAGAATGATTGCTATTCATAATAATAAACATATATTTACCAAGCCATAAATTTGATTTTGCACCCAAAGCATCTGGATTAACACCATATAAAACAAAACACATAATAGATGCTATCCATAATAATATAGAAAATGGTTAAACCATTTCAAGAATCAACTTAATCCACCATGGTTTCTTTATTTTTTCTGTCAATTTATTATCACCATATTATTAGTTTTTTGCTGCCGCTTATTCTTAAGTTAATCCATCTGTTAAAGATGTTTCATATCTAATTATTATAAATTATAATTCATTTACCTTTATGATAATGCAATCACATCAACTTTATGTTCATCCATATTTCTATACTCTTCTCCTTTATTTTATGCTTTTTTTAATAGATCTTGTTTATTATTTGAAGGAGCATCATATTTCACAATTGTTTCATTTAAAACAACCCCTTTTTCCTTAACTTTTAAATAATCCTTACTTTTGCTTATTAATACATTTAACTCTATCTAGAAACCAATGCTGCCGCTTTGACAGAACTTTTTCTGGCATCTTGATTTTACCTTAATCCCAAATCGACGCTCTAACGAAGGATCTAAAATCCTGTAACGATTTATGGATTGTTTATAGGTGGGATATCCCCTTCATTCAATTGCCTATACTAAGCCATAGGCTATTAATTTAATAAAATAATATCTTAAGTTTTTCATTTGATTATATATAATATTTATAGAAATGAAAATAGTCAATTTTGCATCATTGTCTAATTCTGTGATTGCTATATTAAAACGAAGAAAAATAACAAAAAATGAGAATGAAAATTATGATTCACAATAGTTTATATGAAATAACTGATTTTAGACTTGCAAAAATAGTTAAAACTCTAATTGATAAACTCACAATATCATTTAAAAGCACTAATCTCTATATGGTACTAGAAATGATTCTAGATGAACCATGGTTTCATATTATAGCTTATGCCAAAAAATTTTGAATGTAAAAATATGAAATATATAAATTTATATGAAAAAGATCAAGAGTTTAACAAAATTTAAATGAATAAACTATTTTCTATTATTAAAGACCTTTGGAATTATTTTGAAAATGTTGAGAATATTTAAAAAAGAATTCATTTGATTAGTTTTGTTGTTTTTATTTATCTTTTAATGATAATACAAAATATATAATTAAATAATTATTTTTATTTATTTTAGGACACATATTCTAATCATTAAATTAACCAAATTATTAGTATTGGTAATAAAAGGGTGTCATATATAGCTGCAGGTTCATCAAATGGTTTTCGTAAAGTCTTATTTGTAAATGAATACACTGGTGAAGTTTCAGTCCACAGACTAGGACTATCTTAAGTGGCTATTAGATAAATGTTGTACCATTTAGAAGGTTATAAATCAGTAAAGTTATGACTAATAGACTAAGGTATATGAGTAAATTAAATACTTCTGATGAATAATATTTGATGAAATAATAATTG